TCAGTGTGATATGAAAGTAAGACAAAATGTTTCCTTCCTTCATGTTCTTCACTACATTAATAAAATAGTAAAACAAAATAATTTTAGATTATGTTATATATTGCTGTATAAAAGAAATAAATAGGGCTTTAAAAAAATACAGTGTAACTGAGAAGCTCATACTATGCCTAAGGTGATGAGAGGATCCACACATTTGATGAGCAGAAGAAGTAGAGTGACCCTGAGTTGGGAAAGAATTATGCTTGTTAGAGGGAATGAAAGAAGGTGACTGGAGTTTAGGAGTTACAACAAATGGTAAATATGATTAGGAAGGGAGGCAGGGGTCAAATCTGCAGGGCATTATAGAAAACCATGGTAAAAAATATGATTGGATTCTGAGTGAAGGATGAGATAGGAAGTCATTAAGTGTTTTTTAAAGCATTTTCGAATCATGTCTTAGGATGATATGTGAAGAATGGGTTGTAAGGGCAAGAGCATGGAAGCCAGGAGTGTGGTTGGGGAGAATGCCATAGTGCAGGTGAGAGATGTGATATTATAGTTTGAATGTATCCCCCCAGAGTTCACATGTTGAACACTTAATTTGCAATTCATATATTGGTAGAATTTGGAGGTAGGGTCTTTGGGAGATAATTTGGGTTATATGAGATTATGAGGCTGGTGCCCTCATTATGGGATCAGTGGCATTATAAAAGAGGGAGGGAAATCTGAATTGGAAAGCTCTCTTTTTCTGGAAAGCTCTTTCTCTAGTGTGTGATGCCTTCTGCCAGGATATGACTCAGGAAGAAGGCCGAGGGCTGTGGTTGTGGCTCAGTGGTAGAACTCTTGCCTAGAAATTGTGAGGCACTGGGTTTGATCCTCAGTATTGCATAAAATAAATAAATAAAATAAAGGTATTGTGTCCATCTACAACTTTAAAAAGAAAAGGTCGACTTCACAACCACTAGTCTGTAGTTATTCTGAAATAACAACAGGAAACAGACTCAAGGACCAAATATCCACTGAAGATTATAGAGATATATTTTGGAGGAAAAATTTATGTGACTTACTAATAAACTGGATATAAGAGATGGAAGAGAAAAAAAATTTCACAGTGTTTTGGCTTAACAAATGATGGATATGTTCATTGTCTTGATTGTGGTGATGTGTATACATATGTCAAAATTTACCAGATTCGAACCTTTTAGAAGTATTCAGTGTACTGAATGTCATTTGTACCTTAGTGAAGCTGTAAGAAAAATTCCAAGTTCTGGCTCAGCAAATAGATGGATTCTGATGCCATTTTCTGAGATGGGAAGGACTCTGGTAGAAATGTGTTTTAGGGCAGGGAATGGTTATCAAGCTTTCTGTTCTGTTTTTTTTTTTTTTTTTTATCTTAGTTAACTATGAGACATCTAAATAGTTTCAGAGGCAGGAATTTTATTATGTAAATCAGAATCTTAAAGGCAAGGTTTGGGATGGAGGAATTAGGATTGTTTAGTAGGTGATATAGGTACAGTCATATGCTGAATAACAGTAATGTTGGTGATAGATGCCAGTGATGGATGCATATATGCTTGAAGGTGATCCAAGAAGATTGTATCACCTGATGATGTCATAGCTGTAGTTTGTGAAAGTACACTATGATGTTTGCATGATAATAAAATTCCCTAATGATGCATTTCTCAGAGTGTGCCCCTATTGTTAAGTGACACTTGACTGAACTGAAAACATGGAAATGGCTAGGTGTACCTGAAATCCTAGTAACTTGGGAGGCTGAGGCAGGCGGATTGCAAGTTCGAGGCTAACCTCAACAACTTAATGAGATGGTGTCTCAAAAAACAGTCAAAAAAAGGACTGGGAATGTAGCTCAGTAGTAAAACACCCCTGGGTTCAATCTCCAGTACCAAAAACCAAAAACAACAAGACAAAACAATTGAAGAAAAAGCCCCAAACATGGAAATGGGTGCCATAATAATTTTTATGATATGAAGAGGACATGATAGGAGTAGAAGTGGAGAAACAGGCCCTTTAAGGACATTGGTCTTTAAACTGGAGCAAACACACCTCTGGGAGTATAACTGGCATGAATAATTTGTAATAAATGATTTTTAGGTCTCAGCTTCTGTATATATGAATACTTTCTAAAATGGATCTGCTTGTAATTGGCCTCTGTTCTAATACAGATTCTCCTTTTCTGTCTCCCTTTTTACAGTCATATTTTTTCCCACCAATGAAAAGAAATGTTTCCATTTTACCCATCTTTCTATGTGCATTGTGTCTAGGGTATCTAATAAAGGGATAGTTGGAAATATTAGTTTCAGGGAAGCCTTCTTTAAGACTAGTTGTTAATCAAACGTAAGCCTGCCAAAGGTTGGTTTTTTTTGGGTCTTGAACTCAGCAACATCTTCAGTCCTTTTTATTTTTTGTTTTGAAACAGGATCTCAGTAAGTTGCTGAGAGTTTTGCTAAGTTGTCAAAGCTGGTTGCAAATTTGCAGTCCTTCTGCCTCAGCCTCCCACACTGGGAGGGATTACAAGCATGCACCACCATGCCCAGCTTGTCTTTCCCTATTTTAAATGCATTTCTGTTAAGGTTAAAATGTGGAGATAGAATTGGTATATGATGGTCTTTGTGGTATAGTAGCTCCCTCATCCTTAGAAAATACACGTCTAGACCCCAAGTGGATACTTGATATCTTAAATAGTACTGAACCCTGGATATATGCCATGTGTTTTTTTTCTATACTACTTATGATAGTTAATTTTTAAATAAGGCATAGTAAGAGATTAATAATAACTAATAGTAAAATAGAATAATTATAACAATATATTGTGATAAAATTGCCAGCATTGCTACTCTTGTGCTTTGAGGCTATTATTAAATAAAATTAGGGTTCCATGAACACAAGCATTGTGATCTTATGACAGTCCATCTAATAACCAAGATGACTGCTAAGTGATTAATGGGTGTGGGTAGTTTATACAATATGGATGTGCTGGACAAAGGGATGAGTCATGTCCTTAAAGAGTAAGGTGGAGATTTAATTACGTTACTTGGGACAGTATGCAGTTTAAAACATAAGGATTATTCATTTCTGGAATTTTCTGTTTAATATTTTTGGATTGCAGTTGACTGAGGTAACAAACTGTAGAAATCAAAACCCTGGATAAAGGGGGAACTACTTTACGTTGTAGATTGGGGTGATAGGAATGGTTATAAGGTGATCTGGGTGGGTTGTTTGATGAAGAGCATAGAACCTACAGTTTTTCACTTTGGGTGTGGTCAGATCCTCCTGAAAAAAGCCTTCCCATTGTTTGCCCTTAGAGGGCAAGGATCTGACTGGTGGCATACTGGGTTCTTAGTGGAAGAAGAGTACTGGAAGATTCTGCATTTAGCATACAGTCTGTATGGTTCACATGTACATAGTTGCACTTGGTATACTTTAGTCTGGAGATTCTAGTTTACCTTCTCTGGAAATTAAACTAGACCTTTTCCTAGGGCAGTTGTCTACTGGCATGTTGGGTAGGGGACCTAGATATATAACCTTGTGTCACATAGCTTATACCGAACCTCCCCATCCTTGTTCTCAAAGATGTCAGCACTGCTTCTGGAATTTTGAGTCATGCCCAGGAAAAGCTGTGTTTCCTTACACCTACTCAAGATTATGAATAGTTGTCTTTGTTTTTTGTAGCACTTTTTTAGTTTTATTTTGTGTGTTTTAAATAATTAGTCATTGTGGAATATATTTTTGTTCATGGTGTGGAGGTGGGAATTAAACACTTGTTTTTCTTAGAGGAATACCTGATTGTCTCAATACTGATTAATATGTTTTTGCCCTGCCCTGATTTGAATTGCCACCCCTGTCAAAACTAACTTCCTCTGTTTTATTTTATTTTATATTTTCGGTATTGTGAATCAAACCTAGGGCCTTGTACATGCAAGGCAAACACTCTACGAACTTTAGCCCCAGCTTGTTTTGTTTTATTTTTATTCTGGTAAATTACATATAACACAGAAATCAGAGTTACCTGTTATGTTATGAACAATATTTAGAACTACTCATTTAAGGAAGGATTACCTGCATAACCATATTGAAAAGAATGTGAAGGCAAAGATGGGAGGTTTTTTTTTTTTGTCTACTTCCTTGGGACTGTTTTCCTTTCTGGTTTCCTCTGAGTGCTGTTCTTTCTGCCCAGTAATTCTATACTTACTGGACAGATATGAGCTATTTCTGCTGGGGAAACATGTTCCCATTTGTGACAATTCTCCACCAGAGGCACTATAATATATGACTGGTTTAGAACCTTAAACATATCAGAGTTTAAGGGTTCTAAACATATCAGAGTCTAATGTACTTTTTTATGTTCTGACACACGATCTTTAGGAAATAAATCTTTGCAGCTTCAGTAAATTTATTTCCTGTATTTTGTGATGCCTCTTGCTATCTGTCTGGATTTTTTTCTATAGATGAGCCTTTGAATCTGGTAAATATTTTTAGTGGCATAGTGATTAATCATTTTATTTAACTATGAACTATTATTATAAGAAATGCTTGTCTTGTTTTAGGAATAACCTGACTGCTTTTTCAGTTAATCAATACCATTTGACTGCCACTTTTGTAGAGGCACCTCTACTGTATACTGTAAGAAGATACAGAAGAGAGGAAAATATTTCTTGTCTTTGAGATATAGTTTAACATAAGCTTTTATAATTTGATGGCTGATAGTATTACTAATAATATTTGCAGAATACCCACCCTGTGGGAACTTATTTTTCAAAAGGTAGCCCACACTCATAAAGTGTTTGAATCCTTTGCAAGGGTGTTTGCTGTTCTTTTAATTGGCTGCTACTTAGAGGGGAAATCCAGTGTTTGGCTTATGAATAAGCCTTCTGTTTTTTCCTATGGCATTTTTAAGCAGCAGAGCTATTGGAATGTTATTTTCAAATGGCACATCATTTTGTAACTGAATGACCGTGATCAGACTGTTCAAGTCATGCTGATTTTATGTTCGTTTCTTCCAGATGTCATCGTTGCCAAGAAGAGCAAAAATACAGGTCCAGACTGCAGTATCCAAAGATGAATTTGCTTGCTTCTCGGAGTTGTAAGCCTCTTGGTTTAATATGGTAGTGGGGGAATGAGACATATTTTAAGGAGTAATGTGTTTGTCTCTTACAGACTTGTTAAGTCATTTGGGTGGAAGAAAGCTGTATCTTTTACATTCATTCATACAACAGTATTTGTTGAACTCATGCTGTGATCCAGCCTTTAATGTTGGTGATAAAGTGTTAAATAAGGAGAGAGAAAGTAATTAACTAAATACATAACATAGTATTTACACTGGAATGTAAGCTCCATGAGCACAGGGAGTACTTTATATTACATTAGAGCAGAGTTTCTCAACCTGTGCACTATTGACATTGTGCACTATTGTATGCAGAATAATTCTTTGTTGTGGGGCCTGTCTTTGGTCTTGTAGGATGTTTAGTTGCATCCCTGACTGCTTACCAATAAGCACCCCTCCCACCATTGTGACAATAAAAAATGTCTTTAGATAGTGCCAGGTTTGTGTATTTGTAAATTGTCCCCAGTTGAGAATCTTTACTGTATAGTGTCATGTTAAGTACTCTTAAGATATTTGTTAAAGAAATAAGTGATTAATGTTAGGTCATAATAGGTACTATAAAAAAATAAAGCAGAGCAAGGGATAGAGAACACAGTGATAGTAGTGGAAGGGCATTTTAGATATTCAGGGAGTTCTTTGGTGGATGTGCTGGAATCTAATAAAAATCTGGGAGTTGCTGTGATTTAAATGTGTTCCCCAAAGGTCCACTTATAAAGGCTTAGTCTCTGAATGGTGGTGGTTTTGAGAGTTGGTGGGACCTTTAAGAGGTGAGACCCTGTGAGAGGTCTTAGTTCATTGGAAGTATGCCTTCCAGGGGGATTGTGAGGCTCTGCTCTGTATCTTTTTGTTTTTGCATTGAGATGTGAACACTGTCTCTAATATGTGTTCCTGCCTTTGCCATCTGTTGCCTTAATCAGAGGCTCAAACAAATGGGGTTGCCTTATCTTGGACTTGAACCTCCGAAACTCAGGTAAATAAATAATTTCTCTGTAAGTTAGTTGTTCAGGTATTTTATTGTACCTTACATAGGAGAGAAATTGTATGGAAAGTTCTCAAGGATTAGCATTCCAAATGAGCAACACATCATTTCTGAGAGAGAAATGATTTTGATGTGTTTAGAGAACAGCAAGAAAACAAGTATGGCCAGTTCATAGTCATCAGGCACAGAGAAGTAGAAAATGAGATTGAAATGGGTAGGATATAAGGGGCTATGTCAGGGTACTAGAATTTTATTTGGTGTGGGTTGGGAAGCCACTGGAGGTTTGTGGATAGGGATATTACCTGATCTGATTTACATTTTTAAAATATCATTTTGGGTTTCTTGGTGGAGAACAGACTATGGGGGGCAAGAATAGAAGTGGGGGGGATAAGTTAAGATTATTATAGAAGCCAAGAAATGAAAATGGTAGGAAATGGTCTAATTTGGGATACATTTTGAAGGTAAAGGAGATAGGACATGGTGATGGATTAATTACATTTGGAGTATGAAGGAAAGACAGACATTTTTGAAATAATGGAAGAGGTATAGGTGTAAGTGTGGTGAAATCAGAGTCCTATTTTAGATTTGGTAAATTTCAAATAATTGTTAGGCATCCCTGTGAAAGTGGATATGCAAGTCTTGAGCTCAGGAGAAGGTCGTTTTGGAGATATGAAATTGAAATTCCTGTACTGACCCATATGACAAGATGACAAGATATATGAGCTAGCAAGAGAGCATGGAGAGAGGAGGAAGAGGGCTGAGGACTCATCTCCCTCAGGAGATTCCAACCTTTGGAGGGGAAGGAGGTGGAATTTGTTGGGAAAACATAATGGCAGCCGTACCCCAGAGAAAAACCCCAGCATGGCGTCTAAGGACTCTCCTTCTCTTCTTTGTTTCTTTCACTGGCGTGAAACATTCCCGCCGGCGCCAATGTTCAAACCCTGCTGGTAGGAAGCCTTAGCCCCAATTAGAATTAACTTCTTGGGCCCCGGAACTGATATATGGAAGAGCTTGCCAATAAACGGGCGACCTGTTATCTGCCTCAGCCCCTGCTACCTCTCTTAGACCTATATAAACACACAGCCATTTGTAATAAAGAGAAACCTCTTTGGTAATCTGTGTCGTGTGGTGCAGAGTTTTCCAGTCTTACAGTGGTGCCGGAAACCCGGGAGATGGTGTGCTCGACAAACCGAGCCCCGTCTCTGCCACCGCCATCACCAACGACACATTTTGCCCTTGTCTGTTTTATTTGGGCGCGCGCTCCAGTGCACTCACCACTGATCGGGCGTAGGTAAGTTTCCCCCTCCCTCTCCGGCTCACCAACTCCCTTTGGGCTCCCAGCAGGAGACGGGACCATGATCGTCCAGCACGCTCCTGACCCCCGGTAGGGAGGAGGGAATACACCCCGCTAAGACCTTCACTGGTCGAAGTGGACCCTCTGGCGACTCGCTTCCCTTTGAGGTGTGAGGCTTCGGGTCTACAGAGAGAGGCTCCCTGGTGTCTTCCTCCTTCGCAGAGCCGCGCACCGCGCCCGGCCCGCAGGCCCGGGGCTGCTCGCCCGCTAGCCCCCACCGAGCCCAGGGGAGCCGCTTGCCACCTGTGCGCCCCGTCCGGCCTGGGGCTGCGCGCACCCCCGCCTGGCGGAGCCGCTTTCCTTGACCTGGCCGCGTGTCCCGGCTGGCCGGGAGCCCTGCGCCCTGCCTGGCTCAGAGCCCTGCGCCCCGCTGGAGCTCTGTTCAGCCCCGAGCTGAACTTTTGGCTCGGGCTGCGCCCCGTTCCGTGGAGACGCGCGCCCCCCGCTGGAGCTGTGTTCAGCCCTGGGCTGAACTTCCGGCCAGGGGCTGCGCTCCGCTGGGGCTCTGCTCTCTCCTTCCTTCTTTAAACTTCTCGCTCAGGTGGGAAATTTTCCTGGCGCCAAGTGACTCCCGGCCTCGAACCTACAGGGTCACACAGACTGTACTTTGCGGTGACGACCGAGCTGTGCCCTCTGTGCCTACTCGCTGTGGACTGGTCACTTCGGGGATGCCCACGTGACCCTCCATCTGCTCTACGCTTCCAGAAAGCTCCTACAGGCCCGGGTTAATTCTTTTTCTCTTTTTGCTGTCCCTTCCTCCACTCTTTAACCATGGGTGCCTCCTTCTCTGTACCTGAAGGCTCACCACTCAAGTGTCTCCTTAAGAATTTGGCTACTCTGTCTCTCTCCCCAGATCTCAAGCCCCAAATTCTCATTAGATTCTGTACCCAAGATTGGCCCACATATCCATTAGATAATGACAATCATTGGCCTCCAGAAGGCTCGTTAGACCCAAACCTTCTTCAGGATCTTCTTAACTACTGCCTGTGCCAAAAAAATGGAGAGAGGTCCCATATGTTGAAGGTTTTAGCCTTCTCGCCCAACACCCCGCCCTCTGCACTTCCTGCTCTCCCCCTCAGGTCCTCCTTGCCTATAAACCCCTCCCTTTCCCTACTTCCGATCCTCAGCCTTCCGTTTCATCCCTTTCCCCCTGCTCTCTCCCGCCGGTCCCACCACCTCCTCCTCTTCCTCTGCTGAGACATCCCCTTCCCCTCCCTCTCCTTCCTGTCCGCCATCGACTGCCTTTCAGTCCCCCTGTCACCAGGTCTAAGGGACCCCCTCCTACTCCCATGACGATTGCACCCCTTCGTGAGGTAACTGGTCCTGAGGATGTTATTAGAGTACATGTGCCTTTCTCCATGTCAGACATTACTCAGAGAGGAAATTAGGCTCATTCACCACTGATCCCACCACTTACATTCGGGAGTTCCAGTGGGTCCTGCAGGCATACAGCCTTACACATCACGACATCTACATGCTCCTGGCCAATACACTTCTCCCTGAGGAAAGGTGACAGGTCTGGGAACTAGCCCAAGCCCATGCTGATGAAAATCATAGGACCAGTCCCAACCATCCCATGGGCCCTCATGCTGTCCCAGAGCAGGATCCTCTATGGGATTACAATACCCCTGGAGGCTTACAGTCTCGTGACCTTTTTGCATCCTGCCTCTTGGCGGGCCTAAAAAAGGCCACCCGCAAGGCCGTTAATTTTCAAAAGGTGCAGGAGGTCATTCAAAAGAAGGAAGAAACACCTTCAGAATTCCTGGATAGACTAACCAAGGTCCTCCAGCAGTACACAAACCTTGACCCAGAAAGCCCTGATGGCCGTCATGTCTTAATGACATATTTCCTGGCCCAAAGCTACCCTGACATTAAAGCCAAGCTTAAGAAGCTTGAATTAGGGCCCTGCTACTCCTCAGACCGAAATCCTCGTGGTCGCTTTCAAGGTGTTCCATAGTAGAGAGGATGAAAGCGAACGTCGTAGTCAGAGGGCTGAAAACGCCAAATTCCAAATGCTGGCCCAGGTCATTCAGAGAGTCATTACCACGCCGTACCAATAAGACACCCCCTGGAGCTTGCTTCAAATGTGGTAAGGAGGGACATTGGGCCAGGGATTGTCCTTCGCCGAGGATACCTTCCACCCCCTGCCCAAAATGCCACCAAAGGGGATACTGGGGGGTAGACTGCCCAACAACCCAGAGGGGAGGTTGGTCAGCCGCTCCACAACCCCAGCCTCTCCTGGGCTTGGCAGAGGAGGATTGACAGAGCCCTGGGCCTTCCCTCCCGACTATTACCATCAAGAAGCAAGAGCCTAGGGTCACCTTCCTGGTGGATGGACGCTTCATTACCTTCCTCTTAGACACTGGTGCCACATTTTCGGTCTTGAGGGAGTATTGGGGTCCTTCCACACCCTCAAAAACTCCTATTGTCGGGGTAGGAGGTAAACAGATCTTCCCTCAAAAAACACCCCCCTTATCATGTTATATGCAGGGATCCCTTTTGTCTTTCACACACTCCTTTCTCGTTATGAGCCACTGCCCCATTCCCCTTCTGGGAAGGGACATACTCTCATTATTGAAGGTCACCATTCACATATCACGCCACATCTCCCCCGCCTCTCATTTCCTCATGATTTTCCTAGGGACA